ACCTAGAAGAATTGAAGAATAAACAAACAGAGATGAACAATACAATAACTGAAATGAAAACGACACTAGAAGGAATCAATAGCAGAATGACTGAGGCAGAACAGATAAGTGACCTGGAAGACAGAATGGTGGAATTCACTGCTGTGGAACAGAATAAAGAAAAAAGAATGAAAAGAAATGAAGACAGCCTAAGAGACCTCTGGGACAACATTAAACACAACAACATGTGCATTATAGGGGTCCCAGAAGGAGAAGAGAGACAGAAAGGACCTGAGAAAATACTTGAAGAGATTATAGTGGAAAACTTCCCTAACATGGGAAAGGAAATAAGCCACCCAAGTCCAGGAAGCGCAGAGAGTCCCAGGCAGGATAAACCCAAGGAGAAACACTCTGGGACACATAGTAATCAAATCGGCCAAAATTAAAGACAAAGAAAAATTATTAAAAGCAGCAAGGGAAAAATGACAAATAACGTACAAGGGAACTCCCATAAGGTTAACAGCTGATTTCTCAGCAGAAACTCTACAAGCCATAAGGGAGTGGCATGATATACTTAAAGTGATGAAAGGGAAGAACCTACAACCAAGATTACTCTACCCAGCAAGGATCTCATTCAGATTCGATGAAGAAATCGAAAGCTTTACAGACAAGCAAAAGCTAAGAGAATTCAGCACCACCAAACTAACTCTACAACAAATGCTAAAGGAACTTCTCTAAGTGGGATACACAAGAGAAGGAAAGGACCTACAAAAAACAAACCCAAAACAATTAAGAAAATGGTAATAGGAACATACATATCGATAATTACCTTAAACGTGAATGGATTAGATGCTCCAACCAAAAGACACAGGCTTGCTGAATGGATACAAAAACAAGACCCACATATATGCTGTCTACAAGAGACCCACTTCAGACCTACGGACACATTCAGACTGAAAGTGAGGGGATGGAAAAAGATATTCCACGCCAACGGAAATCAAAAGAAAGCTGGAGTAGCAATACTCATATCAGATAAAATAGACTTTAAAATAAAGAATGTTACAAGAGACAAGGAAGGACATTGCATAATGATCAAGGGATCAATCCAAGAAGAAGACATAAGAATTATGAATATATATGCACCCAACATAGGAGCACCTCAATACATAAGGCAACTGCTAACAGCTATAAAAGAGGAAATCGACAGTAACACTATAGTACTGGGGGACTTTAACAACACCTCACTTACACCAATGGACAGATCATCCAAAATGAAAATAAATAAGGAAACAGAAGCTTTAAATGACACAATAGACCAGATAGATTTAATTGATATTTATAGGACATTCCATCCTAAAACAGCAGATTATACTTTCTTCTTAAGTGCACACGGAACATTCTCCAGGATAGATCACATCCTGGGTCACAAATCAAGCCTCAGTAAATTTAAGAAAATTAAAATCATATCAAGCATTTTTTCTGACCACAACGCTACAAGATTAGAAATGAATTACAGGGAAAAACACATAAAAAACACAAACACATGGCGGCTAAACAATATGTTACTAAATAACCAACAGATCACTGAGGAAATCAAAGAGGAAATCAAAAAATACCTAGAGACAAATGACAATGAAAACACGGTGATCCAAAACCTATGGGATGCAGCAAAAGCAGTTCTAAGAGGGAAATTTATAGCTATACAAGCCTACCTCAAGAAACAAGAAAAATCTCAAATAAACAATCTGTTACACCTAAAGGAACTAGAGAAAGAAGGACAAACAAAACCAAAAGTTAGCAGAGGAAAGAAATCATAAATATCAGAGCAGAAATAAATGAAATAGAAACAAAACAGTAGCAAAGATGGATAAAACTAAAAGCTGGTTCTTTGAGAAGATAAACAAAATTGATAAACCATTAGTGAGACTCATTAAGAAAAAGAGGGAGAGAACTCAAATCAATAAAATTAGAAATGAAAAAGGAGAAGTTACAGCAGACACTGCAGAAATACAAAGTGTCCTAAGAGACTACTACAGGCAACTCTATGCCAATAAAATGGACAACTGTAGAAAGGTATAACCGTCCAAGACTGAACCACGAAGAAATAGAAAATATGAACAGACCAGTCACAAGTAATGAAATTGAAACTGTGATTCAAAATCTTCCAACAAACAAAAGTCCAGGACCAGATGGCTTCACAGGTGAATTCTATCAAACATTTAGAGAAGAGCTAACAGCCATCCTTCTCAAACTCTTCCAAAAATTGCAGAGGAAGGAACACTCCCAAACTCATTCTATGAGGCCACCGTCACCCTGATACGAAAACCAGACAAAGATACTACAAAAAAGAAAAGTACAGACCAATATCACTGACGAATATAGATGCAAAAATCCTCAACAAAATACTAGCAAACAGAATCCAGCAACACATTAAAAGGATCATACACCATGATCAAGTGGGATTTATCCCAGGGATGCAAGGATTCTTCAATATATGCAAATCAATCAATGTGATACACCATATTAACAAATTGAAGAAGAAAAACCATATGATCATCTCAGTAGATGCAGAAAAAGCTTTTGACAAAGTTCAACACCCATTTATGATAAAAACTCTCCAGAAAGTGGTTATAGAAGGAACCTATGTCAACATAATAAAGACCATTTACGACAAACCCACAGCAAACATCATACTCAATGGTGAACAACTGAAAGCATTTCCTCAAAGATCAGGAACAAGACAAGGATGTCCACTCTCACCGTTATTATTCAACATATTTTTGGAAGTCCTAGCCACGGCAGAGAAGAAAAAGAAATAAAAGGAATACAAATTAGAAAAGAAGAAGTAAAACTGTCACTGTTTGCAGATGAAGTGATACTATATATAGAGAATCCTAAAGATGCCACCAGAAAACTACTAGAGCTAATCAGTGAATTTGGTAAAGTTACAGGATACAAAATTAATGCATAGAAATCTCTTGCATTCCTATACACTAATGATGAAAAATCTGAAAGAGAAATTAAGGAAACACTCCCATTTACCATTGCAACAAAAAGAGTAAAATACCTAGGAATAAACCTACCTAGAGAGACAAAAAACCTGATGAAAGAAATTAAAGATGATACCAACAGATGGAGAGATATACCATGTTCTTGGATTGGAAGAATCAATATTGTGAAAATGACTATACTACCCAAAGCAATCTACAGATTCAGTGCAATCCCTATCAAATTACCAATGGCATTTTTTTACGGAACTAGAACAAAAAATGTTAAAATTTATACAGAGACACAAGAGACCCCGTATAGCCAAAGCAGTCTTGAGGGAAAAAAAATGGAGCTGGAGAAATCAGACTCCCTGACTTCAGACTATATTCTAAAGCTACAGTAATCAAGACAATACGGTACTGGCACAAAAACAGAAACATAGGTCAATGGAACAAGACAGAAAGCCCAGAGGTGAACCCATGCACCTATGATCAACTAATCTATGACAAAGGAGGCAAGGATATGCAATGGAGAAAAGACAGTCTCTTCATTAAGTGGTGCTGGGAAAACTGGATGTAAAAGAATGAAATTAGAACAGTCTCTAACACCATACACAAAAATAAACTCAAAATGGATTAGAGACCTAAATGTAAGACCGGACACTATAAAACTCTTAGAAGAAATCATAGGAAGAACACTCTTTGACATAAATCACAGCAAGATCTGTTTTGATCCACCTCCTAGAGTAATAGAAATAAAAGCAAAAATAAACAAATGGGACCTAATGAAACTTCAAAGCTTTTGCACAGCAAAGGAAACCATAAAGAAGACGAAAAGACACCCCTCAGAATGGGAGAAAATATTTGCAAACGAATCAATGGATGAAGGATTAATCTCCAAAATATATAAACAGCTCATGCAGGTCAATATCAAAAAAAGAAACAACCCAATGCAAAAATAGGCAGAAGACCTAAATAGACATTTCTCCAAAGAAGACATACAGATGGCCAAGAAGCACATGAAAAGCTGCTCAGCATCACTAATTATTAGAGAAATGCAAATCAGAACTACAATGAGGTATCACCTCACACCAGTTAGAATGGGCATCATCAGAAAATCTACAAACAACAAATGCTGGAGAGGGTGTGGAGTAAAGGGAACCCTCTTGCACTGTTGGTGGGAATGTAAATTGATAGAGCCACTATGGAGAACAGTATGGAGGTTCCTTAAAAAACTAAAAATATAATTACCGTATGATCCAGCAATCCCACTACTGGGCATATACCCAGAGAAAACCATAATTCAAAAAGACACAGGCACCCCAATGTTCATTGCAGCACTATTTACAATAGCCAGGTCATGGAAGCAACCTAAATGCCCACCGACAGATGAATGGATAAAGAAGAAGTGGTACATATATACAATGGAATATTACTTAGCCATAAAAAGGAACGAAATTGGGTCATTTGTTGAGACGTGGATGGGTCTAGAGACTGTCATACAGAGTGAAGTAAGTCAGAAAGAGAAAAACAAATATCGTGTATTAACGCATATATGTGGAACCTAGAAAAATGGTACAGATGAACTGGTTTGCAGGGCAGAAATAGAGACACAGATGTAGAGAACAAACTTATGGCCACCAAGGTGGGGGAGAGCCGTGGGGTGGTGGTGGTCGTGGTGTGATGAATTGGGAGTTTGGGATTGACATGTATACACTGATGTGGATAAAACTGATGACTAATAAGAACCTGCTGTTTAAAAAAATAAATAAAATTCAAAAAATAAAGGAAAAAGTAAAAAGGAAGGATAAGGAATTACTTCCTAAAGAATGAAAAAGGTAAGAAAGATTAGTGGGAAATTCATCAACGATATTAGAGGAGCATTGTTCAGAGGATATTCCCAAAACTTCAGGATTCCTTAGGACCCATGGTTTGTTTGTGTTTTGGTCAGGACTGCCTAGCACTTACAATAATAGCTCTACTCTTCCATTTCTTTGTGTGTCCAACTTATTCTTAATTGTCTGTTTTCTACAGGTAACCCGGGACCAGATGAAGGTGTTTATACAGCAGGAATTTAAGAAAGTTCAAAAAGTGATTGCTGATGAGGAGCAGAAGGCCCTTCATTTAGTGGACATCCAGGAAGCAATGGCCACAGCTCATGTGACTGAGATACTGGCAGACATCCAGTCCCATATGGATAGATTGATGACTCAGATGGCCCAAGCCAAGGAACAACTTGATACCTCTAATGAATCAGCTGAGCCAAAGGCAGAGGTAAAGGAGAATGCCTATAATAATTAGCACAAGAAATAGGCAGAAACTGACTGCCATGTTTGTTAATTCTGGAAATTCCCCCATTTGGTCCCTAAACATGAATAGATTGAAAGCTTAGATAGTGCATAAGTGTTTAGATTGGTGTGTAAACCAGTTTGGAAGTATTGGCTGCTAGGGCCTGTGCTCAGCAACTAGGCCTAGCAGAATATTTGTATACCATGACTTAAAGGAGTATAGTCAGTGGGGCAAATACTATTCACAGTTAATAAGGGAAGCCAGAAATCACAGCCGGAGAAGAGGGCAATTGACAGATCCCTAGTTGTGAAATGAGCCTATAAATATGGGCTGAGTGAGAGTAAGTCAGGAAGTGGAGCATAAAGCAGGCCAAAATAAAAGATTTTGGACTGATTCTGTGAATAGTAAAAAGGTGCCTCAGGCTGGCTTTTATATGGAGCTAACTGCATAAATTGGGGGCATGACTGTTAGATTAAGAGAGGCATGTGGGCTAGAGCATTGTGAGGATCAAAAACAGTATGAATGAAAGACACAAGATGAATGTTGAATCACTGTTTTAGTCATTACATTCATTGTTATTTTGTAATAGGAATAAAAGAATGTTAGATATTTTACCAAACAACATATTCAGGCATTTAGAATATTAATAAAAAAAGAAAATTTAAGGTGGCCATTTTTAAAAAATATAAAACTTATATTTCAGCCACTGGGGAGAAGCTATTGTTTATGAGGTTTCATACCATTATGTTGAAAATTCTGGTCAAGCTTATACCAGATAGGTTTAGGGTAGGCCCTTCTAGAAGGAAACGTAGGAGAGTCCTGTGAAGTTTCTAGGACAGCTGCTGACTCAATGAGCTCAGCCTTAACTAACAGTTTTGCCTTGGCCCAGGAAAGCCTAGCCACAGAATAAACCAGTCAGTAGGAGAGCCACGGTACGATCCAGGGGGCGGGTACTGTCTTTGCTGTCCTGACAGGAAACGTAAGAGACCATTGGACAGTTATCTGCTTCACTCATCCAGGGTTCTTGATTAATTTTCATCACTGTGTGAAAGGAATAGAATAGCTCTTGTTCTTTTTATTTCATCCTCCTCAGAATTAACAAAGTATGTGCCTAAATAAGTTTCTAGATAGGCAAGAGAGCATGTTATATTTATCATTTCATTTAATCCTTATTTCAGCATTCATTGTCTCCATTTTACAGATGGGCTATTGAGATGCTGAGAACTGCAGTCATTGACTCAGTGTCATTTAGTTAGCAGAAAAGAGAGACAGGATTCAGTCCATCCTGTTCCCATGCCTGTGCTTTTTCCCTACTATATGCTGTATACCAAACATCCCGTTTATATCTGTGGGAAGAATAAGGATAATCAGTGCTCTAGGCAGCCTTGCATTCCTAAGACCTTCTGCTCTGAGGAGGTGGTCACTTTGTGTCTTTTTAAAAAATTAATTAATTTAAATTTTTTTATTTAATATTGGAGTAGATTTTGTGTCTTAAAAAGTTCAACCTTAACTCAAGGGATCATTGGCATAACTGTCCCCAATTCCCCTCACATTGGACCTTCCACATTTATTCTGTGTGTTGATTAGGTTGTTTTTTCAAAAATAAAGATTTCATTTTTAAAGACATCTCCCTCTCTTTTATTTTCATTTCAAATAATGGATTTAGTCCTTCCCCAACATTAACTGTCCTTTAAAGTACTTCAGTGACTCAACTGCACTATCCTTGTTAACTCTGATGGAATTACTCTCAGGGATATAAAGATGACAAGGACTAAGTACCAGGCGATGGACAAAATAAGCTATTAACAATGAGAAGTAGCATACATCTGGCTAGAGCTTTTACCCAGAGCTGTTATTATCTAATAGCCTCTCGTTCCAGCTAATCTATTAACTTACTGATCAGAACAAATTTCCAGTACCTCTCTTTCACTCAACAGAATTCTTTTCTTCTCTTTGCATGGTATAGATTTTTTTAAATTACCTGTATTTTTAATTTAATCAGAAGATCCCCCCCAAGATTTTATTGTGAAAATTTTCAAATGTACAGCAAAGTTGAAAGGAGTTTTTACAGATTACACCCATATACCTGCACCAAGATTCTGCCACTAACAATTTACTATACTGATTCATTTTATATATATAGCCATCTTTCCAACCTTCTACTCTTCAATACATCTTATCTTTGCATTTGAAAACAAATTGCATCTTCTGGTTCTGAACAAGATGGAGTAAATGCATTTCATTTTACTCTTTCCATTAATCACAGTAAAAATTTCTGGACAAAATACTAAGTCACCTACCAGAAGACTCTCAAAAGTGGAGGAAAGATGGCAGACTGACCAGGGACCTTGGGATATGAGGAGCCACACAGCAATGAGTACCCTGGGGGGAGGGTTTCTTGCTTCCTGTATATCCTGGCCTGGGTGCCCTGCAAACTGGAAATGCTAATGAGCATAGGCAAAAAGAACATCTCCAAGAAAAACCTGCTCTCTAGCCAAAGGACTGGGAAAAGGGCAGTTCAGCTGAAGAGAAACCTTTTAATAATACCTGCATATTCTGGCAGTGAATCCCTTCCCAGCCCCAATTGGCACCACAGTAGTGGAGTCTTATTTTATACCCTCACCTATAGCAATGAGGTGTCACTTTTTTCTCCATGGAGCCTTTAGGTAAAAGTCTAACTTCTACCTGCCCCTCTCAGAAGTGAATGGCGCCCACCTCCCATGGAGCCTGAAGGTGGGACTCTGACTTATACCCCTCCCCCACAGTAATAGGAAGGGAATAACAGCCCACCCTTATGGGGACTGTGGATGGAGCTTTAACTCCTCCCTTCCACCCCTGCATTAACTAGGTAAAGCCCCTCCCCAACTGAGTCAGTGGGTGGATTCATACCATCCCCTTTTACTGTGTAGTGATGAGTTTGTGCCGTTCCTCCTCCTGAGCTAACACTAGTGGAGACTATAGAGTCTCCACTGGAGCACTGTCACCTGAGGGAGGTGACCAGAATGGCACTGCAGAAGCTTTATAAACTCAATTGACATTTGAACCATAAGCCACAAAAGTGGTCTAGGACCTGTGTTCTGACCTAAATAGGTTGACTACCTGCTAGAATAGAAGATTTAAATAGGAACCAGGTCTTATAATGTCCAGGATACAGTCCATAGTTACTCATCATACCAAGAACCAATGAAATCTCAACTCTAATGAGAAAGAAAATCAGTAGATGCCAACACCTACATAGGGTGACATAGTATTTGGAATTATCAGACAAGGATTTTAAAGTCACTATTATAAAAATGTCTCAATAATCAATAACAAACTGGCAACAAATGAAAAATTTTAAAAATCAGCAAAGAAATAGAAGATATAAAGAAAGACCAGATGAAATTTTAGAACTGCAAAATAGTGACTGACATAAAAATTTCACTGGACTGACTCAATGGCAAATTGGAAATGACAGAGGAAAGAATCAGTGAATTTGAAGACAGATCAATAGACATCCAATCTGAACAATCAAAAAAAAAGATTGAAAAATAATTGAATTGAGTCTCAGGGACCTATGGGACAATAAAGAAAGATCTAACATACATGTCACTTGTACAGTAAGGGGAGGAAAAGGAATACAGAGCTAAAAAAAATTCAAGAAATAATGGCTCAATACTCCTAAAATTTGGTTGAAAAACATAAACCTAGAGATTTAAGAAGCTGAGTGAACCCAAGTGAGATAAATCTAAGAAATCCATACCCAGACACATCAAAGTTAAACTTCCAAAAACTAAGGACAAATAAAAAATCTTGAAAGCAGAGTAGCCAGAGAGGAATGACACATTAGATATGGGGAAGAGTAATTCAAATGAACGTGGTATATGTAAGATTTTTTTCTGTAGCCATTGAAATGATTAAGTGGGTTTTCTCCATTATTCTGTTGTGATGGTTGATTACATTGGTTAATTTTACAATGTTAAATCAACGTTTCATTCCTGAGATAAACTCCCACTTGATCATTAATGTATTATCTGGGTTCAATTCATTAATATCTTGTTAGAGATTTTTATGTCTGTGTTCAAAGAGGGATATTCATTTGTAAATTTGTATTTTTATAATGTAATTGTCAGGCTTTAGGATTGTCAGGTATTAGGATTATGCTGGCCTCAGAAAACAAACTGAGAAGTATTTCCTCCTCATCTGTTTTCTGTAAGAGTTTATGTAAGATTGATGTTATTTCTTCCTTAAATATTCGATAGAATTTACCAGCAAAACAATCTGTCCTGGAGTTTATGTGAAGGTTTTTGATAACCAATTCAGTTTATTTAATATAGAACTAGTCAAATTTTTTCATTTTATATTGACTTAAAATTTTCAAAATTTGTATTAGCTGTAATTTTCAAGGAATTTGTTGTTTTCATCTAAGTTGTTTTAGTTTCTAGTATAAAGTTGTTTATAGTATTTTCATATCATTTTTTAACTGTCTGTAGCCTCTGATGTGTCTATAGCCATCTTTCATTTCCGTTACTGATAATTTGTGATCTTCCCCCTTTTCTCCTTGATCAGCCTAACCTGTATTTTATTAACTTTATTGGTCTTTTTAAAGAATTAACTTTTCGATTTGTTAATTTTACTCTTCGTTTTCTATTTTTTTTTACTTATCTTGAGTTTACCTTTTTTTTTGTTTTTGTTTAAGAATTAACTTGTTATCATCTGTACTTTTTTTTTTTTTTTTTGGCTGTGTTGGGTCTTTGTTGCTGTGCGTGGGCTTTTCTGTAGTTGCAGTGAGTGGGGGCTACTCTTCATTGTGGTGCGCGGGCTTCTCACTGGGTGGCTTCTCTTGTTGCAGAGCATGGGCTCTAGGCGTGCAGGCTTCAGTAGTTGTGGCACTTGGGCTCTAGGGCACGGGCTCAGTAGTTGTGGTGTACAGGCTTGGTTGCTCCACGGCATGTGGGATCTTCCCAGAGCAGGGCTTGAACCCGTGTCCCCTGCATTGGCAGGCG